CCCTACCTGTGGCGGCACATGAGTATACAGTGGGTTCGATGGCCTCCACCTGATCTGATTGCCCCCCGAGTTCAAAGGCATCCGAGGAGGGTTTGGTAGAATTACCTGTGGCTGCGAACCTACTACTGGTGGCTGATTAGAACCTGCCAACGTAGGCTGAGGATAGCTTTCTGCCCAGGTGAGTAACGTATGAACCGGCTGACTTGATGTTGCACCTGGTTGGAGTGTCACTACTGGCAGCCATGGCTGTGATGTTTCAATAGCCCTCTCTGGCCGAGCAGCTTGTGATAGATTCGGCTGAGAAGCCGATTCCTGATTGTTAGAGCTGCTAGCTTGAGTCGGCTTGTTCAAAATAAAGGCTGAGAGTTGGGACATATTTTCATGCAAGTCATTGTAGCGTGCTCCCATCCTTCCCATTGCATCTACCAAGGAGCTAACATGTGCTTGAAGTACGGCTAACTCATCAGTAGGACCTGCTGCAGAGTTCTCAGCCTGTACTGGCTGATCGCCTTCCTCCAAATCTTCATCAGTAGCCACGGCCTTAGAATTTTTTGTGGGCCGTGGCATATTTGCCTCTTTTATAACACTCTAGTAGTGGTCCCACCGGGCGTGCCAAAACGTGTTCGCGCGGTTTTTGTTCCCTACGCTGGTCGATGGACTCTTCGCGGGCGTGCCAGAGTATTTGTACAAAATACCCAAAATATGTAATTGAACACCAGCCTATCCCTTTTTCCGATGGCTGACTCTCAGGTGATTGTGTGGGAGAGAGACTAGTAAGAACTCCCAGCAAGGTTCTTTTATGCCTTGTTTGTAGTAAGGACTTTTTAGAGTGTCTAAAGAAATGCAACGGCTGATGAATGTTTGAATTGATGGAATGGCCGAGTGAAGACAGGCGGCAAGAACTTAATCGATCGCCGGCCGAACGTGATGACGAGAACTTAATCAATCGCCATCAGCCAAACACAATGGCAAGAATTTAATCGATCGCCACTGAAACGTGATAGCAAGAGTTTAATCAATTGCCATCAGCCAAGTAATGACAAGAATTTAATCAATTGTCACTACGATTCAATGGCAAGAATTTAATCAATTGCCATTGAATTGAAAGCCTAACTAAAATTGCGTAATTTAAATTGGCATAATTGAAATTGAAATAAAGTAAATGGCTGAATTGAAATAGTTGACAATGATCTAATCAATTGCCATTAAATTGAAATAAAGAAATTAATAGGAAAAAATGACGTAGAGTCAATTGAAAACATTTTTAGTTGAAATGCATGTTTTGTGGTGGTGCTGGACGAATTGGAATGGAATACAATACTTCTATTTATAGAAGTTCTATCTCAACCTATTCTCCTAATTAATTGCTAGAAAATATCTTTTGTTTCAATCATTTTCTTTTGAAATTCAAACTGAGCTACGGCCCAACATTCCTCGCCTTCAATATCGATGCTCCAGTTTCAATGGGAAAGTCTTTACTGAAATCTCTCTTTTCCTTGATTTGCTTCACTTTGTTGCTAAAAATAAGTCGTATTCCAGTAGTCTTTCACATCTCTTCTCCTCTTGTTTCGTCTTACTTCAAATAAAATACCTTTGTTGAAGAAAATATTAATTGCTAAGAAGTCGGTAGAAAGCTGCTGGAAGATTGCTAGTAAGTTGCTGATTTTTAGCAACTTCTTTCTTCAAGCTTTGACTGAAATATTCCTTTAAATGGCTGGAAAACCATTTATAGCCTTAACCCATACGCTCACGCGGCTGCCCCTTCCTTTTTGAATTTCATTTCCATAAGGATTCAATTTCCTTTCTCATAACTAAATCCCTATTTTTTAGGAACTTAATTATATCACCTCAGCCAACCTCTCCCAATGTTCTATTTCTGATGAAATTTCCTTTTGAAATTAACACAAATCTCGGTTGTTTAGTAACAACCCTTTTGGTGAGGTGACTGAATATATAGATATCCTCCTAAATCTTCTCCTACTATTTCTCCATTGGCCGACCATTCTTGGACATGCTCAACCCTTATCGGCTTCCCATTGGTCCACGTCGCTGCTGAAGTGGCTGCCAAGTTTTGGTGCCAACAGAAACAATCTATCTCATGATTCTAACATGCTCATACGCATATAGATTCAAGAAACAAAATGACTCACAAGTGATGCCGCAAGACAGTTATCAGGAAAATAATCGAAACTAGAATGACTAGTCACCAGCTACAAATGACTCACATTTAATATGCCTTACTCAATGTTTGGGAGTAAAAGAGTAATTGAACAAAACATTGGTGTGCATGGAAAAATTAATAAATAATTTGAATGGCAAATTTTTATTTTTTTTTTAAGTTCGAAACCTTATGTCACAAGCTAGTCACAATTGAACATAAATGACACGGCCACCATTGTTAGTCCAAGTCACCACCATGCCATCTGGACCCACCAATTTCCTGTTTGGTTATTGTTTGACCACAAAAATTCTGTCCGGTCCAAGTGAAAAGGTGAAAGGTGCGGACATGTTAGGATTCGCCGAGAATTCAATGTAAATAGAATAGCGTCAAACTATATTCCAAATCTAGCCTTGAGAGGCTTGAAGATCGGGTGATTGTGGAGAGCTTGGAATGAACGTTTTGGCTAAGTTCTTTTTGCCTCTATGAAAAATGACTTTGGAAATGAAAAGATGGAATGGAAAAAAGATGAAAATACTTGGTAAAAATGTTGCTAGAATATTGAAATGAACTGAATTGAAATTCTGAAATTCATTAAACTAGGAATTGAAGTACAAGTTCTAAAAATAAAAGGAATTGAAATACACGTGTGAGAAATTAAAGTGTTTGAAAAGTAAGATTACACTATGAAAGGATAAAGTGTATGAACTAAAATGAAGAGTAAATAAAAATAAGAGTAGTTTGATCTGTGTGAAGATACCATTTTATTTTGTCCAAGTCTTCTATTTTTAGCTAGTGGCAATTCCATATGATGTAGAGATGATTCTAAGTGGAATGTCTGATTTGTGAAAAGTGGAACGTCTGATTTGTGCCACGTGTTTCATGTCTCCCTTAGTCTTCTCTACCTGCCACGTCTTTACTTGGAAAGTCACACGGCCTTCCAATAGCATGTAACAGCTTCCCTCCTTGGCTGATACGTATCCTTGTACAGTTACTTGTACTAACTGACCTCTGTTTTTTTTTTTTTTTTTTGTAAAGTCACATGTTTCATAATTTCACCTTATCTGCATATCACTCTTTTAATTAAAAACGTTCATCCATCCAATTAGAAACGATCATCGTTCCATTGGAATCGATGTTGAGAATATTTTTAACTAGAAGATAGATATGGTATAAACCGTTACCATTAAAATATGAAAGAAAATCAAGGAAACAACAATACACACTGAACTGGACACTTCCACTTTCCTCACAAACTTCCTCTTGCAATTAAATCAAAGATTTATTTTGAAAGTGGGACCCAATATCTGTTGGAAAACGACACGTGTCAGCACATTTACGCGTATAAAGTAATGAAGTATAAAACATATAGTATCTGGCATACTCCTGCCGGTAAACGATTAATTGTTCGGTTTCTCATCATTAATAGGAAAAAGTTGTTTTGTCGTTATGTGACACCTCATAGCCATGCTTTGCTTTACGAAACTATTTAGAACATTCTGATGTTGAAATTACTCGCCGATTTTTATATAGTACTGTGTTACTCGTTGTTTGTCGTTTCCTGAGTGTTGATATTTTTGTGAAAGATATTTCTGAAGTGCAAAACTAAGTGAATTGACTAAGATTAAAGAATGAAAAATATATATATTTTGCATCAATTTAAAGATTGTGGTCCACTAATATCTCATTTACCTTTAACTAAAAATCTTAATTTCAAATTTTTTTACAAACAATAAAGAGTCATAATAATATTCAGGCATACTAATTATATTTATTTGTCAAAATTAAATAATTAGGATTATTAATAATTTAAAACGAAATTCCACTATAGACCATCATAATTTAGAAAATCGTAATCACTAATAAAATGCAAAGCGAATAGTATATATATATATATATGTATTACATCCGTCTTAAAATAATTGTCCATCTTAAAAGTTGTGACCCACTTCCCAACATGACAATTATTTTAGAACCCAGAGTGTATTATATATATATATATATAGCATGAGAACGGATTTAACCACCAGGTTACACAATTTATGTAGGTTAAAAACTATGAGTTCATCAGGTTTTTTGGATTACACGCAGTATATAAAATTTCAAAAGTATAAGGTATTTAGGTGAACATAAGATGATAAAAAATAAAATTTCAAAAATAAAAAAAGAATAATAATACTTGCACCGAATTGTTGCACCGAATATTTCTAATTGGTTATTTATGCGTTATTTATGCATAGTACATGTAAGTGGAAGGTCAAACTTATTTATTTATTCGATTTGTTATAATGAATTGACAAACTTATTTCTTTTAATCGGTCCATTTATGCATAAATAAAAAAGTGTGACTTTCCATTAACATGTACTATACATAAATAATCAATCAGAATCATTTAGTGTAATAATTCAGTATAACAAATCAATACAAATATCATTACGCATTAAAAAAATACTAAAGCTATGGAGGCTGATAGGCATGGTTTTTTTTTTATTAGTAAATTAGAGGTGGTAAATGCACCATATTTGATTTGATAGGTTACCCACATATGATAATTAAAAAAATATATCTATTATTTATTATTGATTAAATTACCTAGCTTAACTTAGTATGATCAGCCGGAATTTGTCTCCTCGTACCATTACATAAGAAGAAATCCATTTATAAATTGACCTTGATTCATTGAGAATTGTGGATAAAGATCACGTCACCTGTTTACCAGAAATTACACATGTCAATCACCTATTAGCTTACAACTTGGTGTCAAAAACAGCTGGCACCACATCAACATCAACACCAACATAATATCTTACTTACTTCGTTGTGTTGGAACCGTGGGTAGCCCTCCAGCCTGTCTCGTCCTCAAATTCAATCCAATCCCCTGTAATAGTCGCGTTACATTATATATACAATATTATAATCTCTCTATATATATTCACTTTCACTTCATCATATATGTTATTCATACTTGTTCTCCCAAAACCAAACTCAAATCCACTACTACTAAATTTCAACCAACACTTCTACTACTGCTTTCTAATGGAAATCTTTTCTAATTATTCAGACCCATTTCCATGTGGGTCATATTTCTGGTCACCGGAATCATCGTCTGTGGTGTCTGATGGCTGCTACACCGTCCTTGCCAATTGCTCCGACGAGGAGGTTATGTTGGCTAACTTGGCTTCCAGTCATCCCAAGAAGAGAGCCGGGCGGAAGAAGTTCCGGGAGACTCGGCACCCGGTGTACCGGGGAGTGAGGCGAAGAAACGGCGGGAAATGGGTGTGTGAGGTCCGGGAGCCCAACAAGAAGTCGAGGATATGGCTGGGGACGTTCCCCACGGCGGAGATGGCAGCACGGGCCCATGATGTGGCTGCGCTAGCGTTGAGGGGCCGCCGGTTGGCTTGCCTCAATTTTGCTGACTCGGCATGGCGGCTGCCGGTTCCGGCGACGGCTAATGCCAAGGACATCCAGAAGGCTGCAACCGAGGCGGCTGAAGCTTTCCGGGTGTCGGAAGATCAATCCAACGAGGTTTCCGGTGACGACATGATGCCGGAAAGAACGACGACGTTACCGGAAAAAGTGTTCTTCGTGGATGAGGAGGCGGTTTTCGGCATGCCGAGATTGCTTGCAAATTTGGCTGAGGGGTTGATGCTACCTCCACCTCACTCGGGAGGATATGGGCAAAATGAGAATGACATGGAAGCTGATCCTGAAGTGTTCTTATGGAGCTATTCACTTTAATTTGATTTTATTGATTCTTAGAATTTTTAATCCGTACTTAATTTTTACCAAGTACCGGATTTGTAATTGGAATAGGTAAGAATACAGTAAATATTTTTTTTTCAAAAATACAGTAATCTGTAGATAGTGAGAAACGATGAAAATTAACATTTTGAGTGAATATACCATCAAAGTCTGCTCGCTTTCATGTTATCAAATACTAGCAAGTTTATGTCGTAAGAATATAAGTTTATGTCGTGTGAGTGAAAAGGCAAATTTGATGAAGCTAAGTTTGCCATCTGCTGTTGTCTTTTATCCTCAAAAACAGAACCAACACACGCCAATAAAGCATAAGAAAGTTAAAAGGGTTTAACTTAAAATTAACGTGAAACATCTTCGGATTCATATGCATTGATCCAAAATTAAGCAAATACGTCGTTCCAATACGAAACAATAACAAGTTTTGTGCGAAATTAAAGCCATTTTGTGCCTCAAAACAATCGGGAATGCAGCATAAATCCATGTCATCGAATGGCAGTATGCAGTTTACATCAACAATCGGCCTATGATGTCCAATGAGTGCATTTCTTCATTCTCTGTAGACGTGAAAGAATGTATTGACTACGCATTATCTGTATGAACTTTGAGCACTACCAAAAAAAAAAAAAAAAAAAAAAAAACATGATGTCAGATTCAACGACAAAACAACCCGGGATTTTCAAGCACTGGGAATACTATAACAAGAAGGCTTGCCTTTTTTCTGGATTATATAAATATAGTGGTTCAATCATTTTTATTCTCTGATGTTTCCGCCGAAATTTCGCGCTCCAAATGCTGACTAGCTTGTTCAAAGGACAAAATTTCCTGCATTAGTGTGGCAAGCTTGGCTACATTTTCTTCGTGAATATGAGCAGGAACCTTCTCCTTGTAACCGGAGGCATCCATCATCTTTGTTAAGGTATCACGTTGCCTGCAAAATCAATTGTCCAGATTAAAGGGTGTTGGCCTATCCAAGTAACAATTACATTTCAAATAGTATATGATTGTAATATAATAATTGATCCATCAATCACTTCTTTTGAAACGCAACAATATTGAGAGCCTCAAGCACAACAAAAAGATTGCTACATATCATGAGGACATTGATTGAAGATAAATAAAGGAGACATCCACTTTCCATTCGGAGCATCCTCAATTTACAACTCATATCAATAGATTTTCTAGTCAGACACTCTATGCGCCAGCCACGACGAAGGAAGCTAGAAGCAGAGAAAAGCTTCATCAGGCAACCAAAGGAACTGATAGTGCTTGCAGGTAAATTGTTGGACCCTATTTTCCTGCATATTTTACTGTCCATCGTCCCCTTGTTATTTTTTATTTTTCAATTCTAAAAGGATCATTTGATATGATGGGTACCATTAATTTCTATTACAAATACTCCCTCTGTCCCAAAATTCTTGTCCCTCTTTCCATTTTTTGTTGTCCCAACATTCTTGTCCAAAATGAATAGATTTCTTCCCAAAACATCCTCAACCTTTTGAAAACTTACCCCAACTAACACTACTTTAAATGGGTAATGTAATTTTAAAAGGGGACAATGCAATAAATGCTTGTGCCCTTAAAATTTTGGAATTTCAAAGGGGCAAAAGATTTGGGACGGAGGGAGTAGGTCATTTTTCAATACCATCGTTTTAGTTCTATTAATGTGTTTATGCATTCAAATTTTCACTATTGCTTCTGCCGAGCTCTGAAATGTTCCACTTCTTAGTTGACCGAAGCCTCCAAAATAGAACTCTGAACCATGTTATAAACCAGGTCATTTAGACAATAAGGTTACAAGGCTTTCTTCCCGGGGAATAAAAAAGAACCTCCAGCAATAAGAAAGCCCATAATACCAACTAATCTAGGACTCGCTTCATGTTGTCACCAAGTGTTTAAAAAAATGGTATATATAGTTAGTTCTGAAGGAGAATCAGTAGAGAAATAACACTTACTTCTGTATCTCGTCCATCTTTTTCTTGAGCTTTTCACGTTCTGCTTCTGCATTGAGGGTTCCTCGGAGCTTTAGAAAAACAGAAAGGGCTTCATTTACAACGGATACTGCACATCCAACCGGATCAGCATCGCTCTCACTTAGAACCTGGTCCATGTTTACTTCTAGGATTAGAATAAATAGCTGAATACAAAAAGAATTTAACTTGGCTCCACCCAAGAACTCCGGCTTGAGCAGCAACCAAAAAAAAAAAAAATTGTCTTTGCCCTTTATTTGCCATATTTGATCCTTTCTTTCTTTTTATTAGTATTTTTAAATCTTTTTTTTTTTTTTTTTCTGGGCAAGTATTCTTAAGTCTTGATTGATTGGATTCTAAACATTGAAGTGTTGCTTTATTGATTCTGTCAGTTCGGATACGAATGTGTGTGTGATATTATGTATATTAGAGAGAGGATGGTGATGGTGATGGTGATAGAGACGCCGGGGGTGGCCATCGAGGGAAGCAACAATGATGAAAGGAATTTTTTCCCCCTAGTTCCATTTGGGTCTTGGGTAAGAAGGATAAAATGGTGTTTTACACCATATATCAAATGGGTCATCGTATGAATCACAGCATGCAAATCTGGGTTGTCTTTGCCTCAGGAAAATTTTTGTCAATGTAAGGGCAATTTTGTGAGGTTACTTTTGATGCTATCACATGCATTGCACATGCTATTTTTCTATTAATTTACAAACGGTCAAAACAAGAGAAGGGGGTATTTGCAACTTTTTTGAAATGTTTCAAGGGGTTTCCTGCAGTTTCGATAGTGGTTTTCTAGTAAAATTTAATAGTTGAGGTGTTATTACCCTAAATATTACTGCCCCATCCCATAATAGTGGTCACTTTTTTATTTTATAACTTTTTAAGGGGAGAGGCATTAATTGCATATCATTATCACTTTTAAAATTACCAAGTTGTCCTTTCAAGTTAAATATGTATATTATCAAGTTGGGAGATTTGTAAAAATTTTAAGGGTAATGGAAAAAATTCATTTACTTTGTTTTGACTTCTCAAATGGGATAAACATTTTGGGACAATCCAAAAAAAACGAGACAAATAATATGGGACAGAGGGAGTATATAATATTAATTAATATTTAGAAGTGTCTTTGTATCTTTTTATTTGGGGATTTGATACATCCAATGTTCAAACACATACCAGCACCCGAAAACGTATCCAAGTAATGGAAACGCTGGGGAATATATACTGACAATATTCCATTTTTACAGTTATAAACTCGATAAGCATGGAGAAATAAATGCATACAGTTGAGCCACATTTACAGCAGGCACTACCCTGACCACTTCTGCCCACAACAAATTATGAAAAAAAGAACCCCAAGGGGTTGGCTCAAGTGGGTAAGAACTTAGCTCTAGTACCTCAGGAAGTATCAGGTCTAAGGTTCAAATCCTCTTGGGAAAAAAACAATTCCTTGAGGGGAGGGTGTGTGAGTATCCACTAGAAAGAAAAAATCATTATGAAAAAGAAAAGAAAAGGAAAAAAAAAAAGGACAAGGAATAATAAAAAGGAAGATCAGAAAAGGATAAAGAGATGAGGAAATGCAGTGACAATGTAGAAAATTAAATATCAAACAAAACAGCCCACATAGCAACAGATATATGCGTGTACCTTCAAAGATAATAAAGTGGCGAGAGTCGAAACCTCAAGTTCGTGTCTTTTGATTATCTCTGCAACTGCATCAGTTCGGCAAAGTGCAAAAGCTGCTCGTCTGAAAATAGAACAATATATTTGATACAATTACTAAAATTTCATAGAATAAAGTTCAGAACAAATCAAAATTCAACCTTAACAGGCTTCATATGACTGTAAAGAAAAAGCTTCTACCCAGGTCCTACAATTCAATATCTGAATCACAGAAGATCTAATGTTGCATTTGGGGGCACCAAATCGGTGCTTTGGATTTTGGATTGGAGGAAATTTAGTTCAAAGTCTGTACAAAATTTCCTCCAATCCCAAATCCAAGCTGCCAATTCGGTACTCCGAAACATAGCATAAGTTCAATCTTCTATTCATTTGTGGAAAATGAACCTACAGAGCAATTATTGTAATCATTCTACATGAAGGTAATTTTTTGCATTTTAACCGTATAATATTTTAATGAACTTGTAACTGGACAAAAATGTATGGGGAATGGTACCAGGGGAAAAAAATTACACAGAAGAATCTATTTAAAAGAACAAAAATGAAATAAAACAAGTTTTCCTGCCATAATCTAAGTGACTGACAGCAGCAACATAGGTCACCATTCTTAAGATAATAATTTCATTTGGAGCAAAAAAACTGGTGGATACAAGTATGTAAAGTAATAGAGGATAATCAGTAAAAGACATTATCTCAATGGCTTTTTGTTAGCATAATGCAATATCAAAAGAATTTGTAAACTGTCATGTATAACTTCAAAACTCCATCTAGTTCAAATATTAATTCAAGTTATTTAGAATTAGTGACAACATTATATTCAAGTTATCTATTTCTTTCTTTTTACATTTAAGATGAGAATTTAGGACATCAGCATTCATCACAATGTTTCAACTATAAGATTTTATGGACTAAAATAATATTAATTTCATATTCTAAAAGAAATAGTATGTTGCTACATGTTAACTTAGTTTTTTTTGGTCACTCTACATTCCCATTCATGCAAAGACAACTGGAGTTACTGGATATAATTTCGCATTTGTCAGCCACAGGTGCCCAACATCCAGAGTTTAAATTTCAGGTGCCCAATATCCAGAGTTTAAATTTTAGTTGACTGGTATAGTAAATTCATTTTCTTACTTGTTTAAAATTCATCATAAAAATGCAGGAAAAAGAAAATATTACCATTTGAGGCAGTATATCCACATTGCACTTGCAATGTGTAATCGTTTCATGGTATATACGAAGTACTTTCTTGGCCAAGTATACAAGGAACCAAAAAAGAAAAAATAATTTCAAGATTTACCGTTCATGTCTTTCCTTTGGAGGCATCAACGACCTGAGCGACCTAAGTGATTTAACCGCAGACTCAACCAGATCCATCTCATATTCTACCTGTTCATTTGTCCAGCCCTGTGAAAAGTAGAAAAAAGATTGAATATGAGCATAAATTAATGTTTCAGCGACTATTTTAAAATTTAGACGGCTTAACACCTACATGAACGAGAGAGTGTAGAGGATGTGAGACAGAACCCACCATCCAAATGGTCGGTGCATTCTATGCCCAAACACAAAAGAAGAAGCAGAACTTCTAGCTTACTATTTGCCATTTGCTCGAATGATTTAGATAACTAAATCAAATGTATGGCCAGAAGAATCTCTAAGGTACAATAAATTATTTTTTTCCATTTCAACAAGTGAATAAGATTAAAGTCTAAAGTAATGAACAAAGTAAGGAATAATTTGAAATATGAAATTTAACAGCAAATGATCAGCAATTGATCGGTAATATGAAAGCCTATGACAACAGAACAATTAAAAATTAAAATTAAAAGCTAGCCCCTATCAGAAAAAGCATTGTGGGCCAGACAAGTTATTTCTTGATAAGTTGTAACAAACAACAGATCGCACTGGCATGTTGAGCTTCTGGGATGAGTGGGGGCCCGTGAGCAGTGAGCTGCAAAGGCCTTTTAGCTGGGTTCAACCCCCAGTGAACATCATTGTGCTTTTACAATTCTACCCAGGAATTTTCAATTATTCAACTAGATCTCACCTCTACAATTGATGGGTATTCACAGATCATGATTGATTCCTTCCTCATACAACCCTTTGTTGCAGGAAGGCGCTGCCACAATTCTTCTGTAACATAGGGCATAAATGGATGAAGCAACCGCAGCCCATTATCCAGACAAATCCACAAGGTATCTTGTGCAGAACTCCTTGCAGATTCAAATCCTGGGTCATTACTAGCAAAGTAAGGCTTGATTACTTCAATAAACACATCACACAACTGGGACTGCCACCAAGAATATACTGCAGTGGCTGCATCTGAGAACTCATAGTCATCTAGTGATGACACAGTTTTAGATATCGCTTTGTTCAGAACTGAGAGTATCCACTGGCAGCTAAATGGCAAGCTATCTGGATCTATATTCTTTGGAGGGGTGTAATCATCTCCAAGCTTGCTCATGGCAAATCGCACAGCATTCCACAGTTTATTACACCATTGACGATATCCAACCACCCTTTGGATGTCCAGATTTATTTTATCAGACTAAAAATCACAAAATGAAAAAAAGTTACTAAATGACAGAAACATAGTGAAATCTGAGAAAAATAGGTATACCAAAGGCATGAACCTGAGCTGTATAAGAGACTAGGGCAAAACGGAGAGCATCTGCACCACATTCAGGAATACCGTTAGGAAAGTCCTTCACCTGTCCCTCCTTGGCAACCTTCAATTCATTGGGATCCAAGTTACCCTCCTCCAGTCTCTTGTGAAGACCCTCCAAGGATATTCCGTTTATTACTTCAAGAGGATCAATAACATTTCCTAATGACTTGGACATCTTACGCCCATGTGCATCACGAATCATAGGGTGCAAATAAACCTGGAGACAGTTCAAAATGCATCTGTGAACTTGCTTCAATATTATAATTGAAAATTCAAATAACTATTTGAAAATTGTTTGCAAGTATATGCAGCATGTATTCTGTTTAGAACAAAGAAAAATTATGCCCCTCTTCTTCTTGTACCTCAATTTATAGCACACTTTTTTTTAATTCTGTTGATGCCTAAACATATAATCCAAAACAAATTAAAATTTGCCTCACTGGATGTGAATCAAAACTTCTGGCCTTAATTTTTACAATAGGTTAACAGTTTTCACCCATCTTCTGTGATATACCATAATGAAACACATCAAATTTCAGCAGATTGCAAAGACTGGTCATGGTGTGCTGCCTAAGAACATTTATCCAACAAAGAACTGTCCAAACTATTTGGGGTTGCCTACATGACTATTTAGGTGGTAAAATATAGTTCCCTCACCTTTCTAAAAGGTACATCACCTCCCAGCTTAATTCCCAACATCACCATACGAGCAACCCAGAAAAAGAGAATGTCATGGCCAGTTTCAAGAACCGAAGTTGGGTAAAATGCCTTCAAATCTTCTGTATCATCAGGCCACCCCAGCACAGTTAATGGAAAAAGACCAGCAGAAAACCAGGTGTCCAGAACATCAGGATCCTGATATATCTTAAACTCTTTCCCAGCATATAATCTGCTAGCCTCAGCTCGAGCCTCTTCCTCATTTCTGGCAACCACCCAGTGGTCGTTGTAAGCACCGAGTTCCTTCAGTTCGTCGTCCTCCAGCAACACATACCATGCAGGAATTCGGTGACCCCACCAAAGCTGCCTTGAGATGCACCAATCACGAATGTTCTCAAGCCATCTGATGTTTAACCCAAAAATTTAGTACAAATATAGGTATTATTATACAGCTAAATCTTATAATTATTTCCTTGAGAGGAAACAGCAGATGAATCAACTCTCACATATAAGAAAGGTTAAACCACCATTAGCAGGATCCTAAATTTGGAGAAATTTAGGAAAATAAAATCTGGCCTAGTATTTTACATATTGGTTCTATGGATCAGATTATTGAGGTCAATCTCGAGATACCAAAGATATCTGTTGTGAGAAACATTGAGATGCATGAGACTATAATATGAGGATGTAGATGTATATAAGAAAGCTTTAGAAGAAATGAATATCTCATTATATTTTCATTTTGCTGTATCCTAGAATGCAAAATTAAACACTGTATCCAGTTAGGCAAAATCATACCTTTTCCATTCAGCAATATACTGTTTTGGAATGATCTCTATTTTCCTAGTTTCACCATCCACAACAGCATCAAGAGCTTGCTTGCCCAAATTATTGCAGTTGACATACCACTGAGGTTTTATCAGGGGCTCCACAACATCATTGCTTCTTGAACAAAGGCCAAGACGCATCTCGTTATTTTTAGCACCTCTGTAGAGACCCTAAATGAAGAGAGGATATATATATCAAAAAATTGTAAGATTTCTTTGTTCCGTCTAAAAAGAATTTTATTCAAAGTAAGCATATCTTCCATCTAGTAAGTTAAGACTGACTCTTCGTCCAAGTACAAATGCATGTCTGTTGAGGGAGAGAAACAGGCAGCGGAGAAGAAAATGAACCCAATCCAATAAAATATTCCAAATTTAACAATATTATAGAACTCCTCAGGCCCTTCTTCTAACAAGGGACCATAGCAATGCATGTGAAGTTTCTCCGAAATAAGAACGAGTTACCTACTTTTTGTTTTTTTATAAGCACACAAGTTATGACCCTTGCTTGATAGATTTGTCCAGTTTAGTATGCTAGAAAAGTAATTTAAATGTCTTGGTTACAAGAATACCTTTTTCTTAAGAGTATGATGTCATAAGAATACCTTTTTCTCTAAAGCTGCGGTCACAGCCTCACGGGCTTTGAAACGTGGCATCCCTGCAAACTCCGAACCCCCATTGCTATTTATTTTCCCGTCATCAGTAAGAATGTTGATGAACTCAAGGTTATGACGCTTGCCAACCTCAAAATCATTTGGATCATGGGCTGGAGTTATCTAAGGAGCATAAGCAAAAATTATGAGCATTAACATCCCAAAAGGAGTGGTAAGAGAAAATTTCAAGGCCAGCATTCTTAATCTCAATTTGCACCTTGACAGCACCAGTGCCGAAGTTTGGATCTACAAGAATTGGATCGCAAACTATAGGAAGTTTTCTTCCATTGAATGGATGAATGGCTGATTTTCCATGAAGATGGCTGTATCTTGGGTCATCAGGATGTATAGCAATGGCAGTATCACCAAGCATTGTTTCCACTCTAGTAGTAGCCACAACAATCTCACCCAACCCTCCTTCTAAAGGGTAAGCAAATGAAGTCAAAACACCAAACTCCGCCAGGTTTTCATATCCCGGAACCTTTAACATTGTCCTTTCTTTGATGTCCAGATAATCAACCTATAAGTATAAACACCAAGCAACTTCCAGATATGTAAAATATAGCCAACTGAGTACACTATTTTTAAGGTCCTCTGATCATGGCTTACCTCAATATCAGATATTGCAGTTCGCAAGACACAATCCCAATTCACTAACCGCAGATCCCTGAAAGTGGAGGAAAAATAAAATAAAATCTCCAAATAGGTTTTACCAAAATGGAAAGAAATTTCGCATTGAAAGTAAATTGAAATATGAATCTATGATTCATCAAAAAAAAAAAAAAAAAAAAATCATGATAACTGGAAGAATCTAATCTTTATTGAGAGAGGCAACTAATTAGAGTAAGCACAATTGTTCTTAATCATGTGGTATGATATAATCAAACAATTAATTTCAAGAACCAACCATTATTCTAAATATAATTTTCAGTGATTTGCTTCAGATAAATAACATGAGTTCTTCATTACCATCTAAAGATCTTGTCACACTTCATTCTAAAAAATGGGAAAAATAAAATAAATGAAAGGGAAAAAATGAGAATTGAGATGCAACTAAACATCCACCACCTAAAATAAACTATAATTTGAATAGCGTACAATTGAATTTTGGGATATTTGAAATATAAAAAGCTGCTAGGCCTAACTTTCCAAAACAAAAAATAAAAATACTAGGCCTAATTTTAACCTAAGAAGTAAAGGCACTTCTAGGATGGTGCCGTGTCATTATTTTACTCTCGTAACTCACTCATTCTTTTTCATATCTTCTCTAACCTATTCTAAGAGGGCCGGGATCCCCCTCTCTCACCATATGAGTGGAATCTGAGCTTCGTTAACAATGGCTTCTAAGAGCCAAACTCTTCCAATTGTTCCTTACTAACTACAAGCAAATACTCTCACTCTTGCATTCCTTACTCTCATAACTCACTCTTTTTTTCATATCTTCTCCAATCTATTCGGATTGGATCCCCTCTCTCACCGTATGAGTGGAGTCCAAGCGTCGCTAACAATGGCTTCTAAAAGTAGAACTGTTCCTTACTAGCTAAGGTAGAAAGCTAAGAGCAAATACTCCCACTCTTGCATTCTTTTTCTTTTAGTGCTTTGACCAGAAGTAATGGAAACGTGACACTTCATAGACACTCTTTGATACCTGTTCGACGCCTCATGGATGTATCCACAATTTAAAGAGAGTTTCATTATTCATAGCATTACATGCATTTTGAACAGAACTTGCGTAGTACAAACACATCATAGTAAGATCCATATCTGAACCCGGCCAGAAATTTATCCAAAAAAATTGTCTGGATGCTACCAGAAACAAGATGAATTCACACCTTAGCATATGAGATAAATCATTGTTTTTTTGCTTTGTCCTACAGTATATGCAATTTTGTGTAAAATTGAGAAAATTGATGAAAGCTATATATTTGGCTTAGATGCATACAAATAAACACTGAATTTATATATTATTGTATCCTTACAATATTGGTGTCCTAATTTTTATTAGGACAATACTTAGGTACTCACCAGTGAGGATGTACACGATCCTCACCGCTAATGTGGACCAATAATAAATGGATACGTTATCTTTAATTACCAAATCAGAGATGGTGGGGGTACATACTCACTTACTAAAGGGTACATTCACCATCTCTGATTTGGTAATGAAAGAAGACATGTTCATTTTTTATTGGTCCACATCTGAGGACAGTGTACATCCTCACTAGTGAGGACCCAAGTATCGTCCTTTTTATTATATGCCATGTCGGAGTAAACTTGTAGTATCATGTTTGTGTCCCATGTCCCTCCCAGTCCGTGCTACTCAGATTTTAACTTAATATGAACTTGTTAACATCTCAACCATAAAAGAAAATAAAAGATGCAACCAAACAACTTCTGAAATTCATTCCACAGACAAGTAGCTTCATCGGCTATTACGATAGGGGCAATTGCAATATCATTTATGCCGCCACCGCGATGCTTATTTCAGATTTCTGACTTAGGTCAAAAGGTTGAAGATTGTGAACTTGGAAAAGAAGAGGAAAAAAAGTATTACTTATACAAAGAATATGAAAATCACACATTCCTGGTTTTAAGAATAAAGCAGACCAATATAAAATGCATACCTATAAATAAGACCTTCCTTGTAAAGCCTAACAAAAGCTTCTATCACAGCATTTGACCTTTTCTCATCCATTGTAAAGCACTGTTTGGAGGGGAGAAAAAAATGCAAAGACGAAGATCCAGTAAGCCAGTGAGATTGTCCATTCAGTGGCCAGAACATGTAAGAATAATTTTGAATCTTACCTCGCGAGACCAATCAAGAGAGGCACCCAGGCAACGTAGTTGTTTCATAATAGTACCCCCATACTCATTCTTCCAATTCCAGACCTTTCATCAAAACATTGATAGACCCCATGGATGAATATAAAGTAGCAAAAGACATTTTAAGGACGTTCAAATTATTAAAATATCTGGCATAAACTGGTGACATCTCAAACTCACTTCGGATACAAATTTTTCACGGCCAACATCATGCCTGGTTAATTTTCTTTCTCGCATAATCTTCTTCTCCACAACCACCTGTCGGTCAGCATTTGAATATCATATCTAAACAAACTCCACAATCATCTGAATATCATAGATACACCTATACAATAACATATGCTAACACACATGCATTGCTGCATATATGTGATGCCATTTCATGTCACTGCACACGAATTTAGGTCACACCTGAAGCCTTAAGCAGTACAACTACCAAATCCCAGAATATTCCTAATCCAAACCGAGTTTCAATCTGGGCCTATTTGGCCCATATAGAAGTCAGATCTCGGTGCATGGGATCATGGACAGTCAATATCCCATCATTTTATGTATTTCATGCCAAAAGATGATGTCTCACATAGTATTAGGTTATTACAAGCCATATGTATTGCACATGACAAGGCAGTACAAGACTTCTCCTCCCCATATGGATGCATGCTCATGAATACATTTACAAAGATTTAAACTGAAGAAAATGGAGATAAACCTGTGTTGCTATCCCAGCATGGTCCATCCCAGGGACCCACAAAGTGTTGTAGCCGGACATTCTCCGCCAGCGAATAATTGTATCCTGCATGCAATGAAGTCCAACAGTAAATTTACATTGGTTGCGAAAATTACTGACTGAAATGCAAAAACAGAAAGACAGTGCGACTTTGGAACCTGGATAGCACAGGTAAGAGCATGGCCTATGTGTAAGGCCCCGGTCACATTTGGAGGTGGAAGAACCTTCAGTTTTACAGAAAATTGAACTCATGAATGTTATGGATATTAATTTGGATAATAATTTGCAGCTAACAAAATTTCTGAATTACAGGTAATCCCCTTATTTAAATTCAGTTAATTAATTAATCACATGTCTCAGTTATCATCACACAAACAGATAAAGAAATAAATAAAATAAAGCAAAGACAATATTTTTTACGTGAAAAAACCCAAAGAAGAAAAACCATGGGACCTGATCCAAGCATATCAAAATCGACTATATGAGAAACAGGTTACAGGCTCTAACCCAAGAATCACCTAATCCCTCCAAACTCAGACTTACAGAAGAACTCCCCAGATCCTCTAGCCACTGATCCATCGATAGACTTGCTCCTCACACAATCAGACTTTATGAACTACTCGTTGATACTCAGTTGGATTCTTTCAATTCTCTCAATCACATATAGTATGGTAACCTATGAAGAACCCTAGATTGATTCTCAAAGCTTTCTCTCACTAAAAAAATAAGTCCTTTCAATAATATGCAAAAAAATTGAAAGCTCGCGTGAGAGATGCCATCTCCTCAACTAAATTTATTAACAAATAATACAAGAAAACAATTTTGCAGTGACAGCATGGAGAAGTCTATAGAGACACTCACAATCACAAAAGGAGGTTTCGAGCTGCTAGAATCTGCCACAAAGAAGCCTGATTTCTCCCACCATGCATACCATCTAAAACAGTTAAAAAATATGAGGCTTGCATACTAGTTCTGTAAATGCTATAAAGGGCACAAAATACACATTAAACTTACGATTTCTCAACTGCACTAGGATTAAACTGCTTCGCCATTTGACTGGAGCGGAGTTTCTTCTCACCAAAAGGAGTTTCAGGGTCAACATAATCCTCGGGGTTATCTTCCCCTGCCTCTCTCCGTGTGCTCTTTTTTTTAGCAACTTTTGAAGCATTAGAAGGTTGTTGTGCCTTGAAAGCATCATGCATGCAGATAAATAGAGTGAGTTCAACTTTGTCAATCCCGTAAAAGGAGAAGCTAAAATTCAAGCTACATAATAGGAAGGTAGCATATGATAACTAACAAAAACCAGAAAAAAAATTAGCAGGTGCACAACAAACAATGATATTCTACCTGAAGTTTGGCTGCTTCTGCTTTTTGTGCAGCCTTAAGTTTTTTCAGTTCTTTCTCTCTGGCCTATCACAAAAATAAGAAGCAAAAATTCATCGCACCACAATTTGAAATAGGGGAATAAACAGATATGAGTCAGACAACCAAATAATAAACCAAATCTGGATTTCATACATAATCTGGATTCATTTGTGGCTTAATAAATTGATGTGGATTCTATTTTGTGGCTTAATAAAGTGATGGGGGGGTTCTATATTGTACAAAATTTGATTCATCAAGAAAGATAACCAAATGCAAGGAAAAAAGATTATCACATGGAATTCAATTAGTTACTAAAATGGAAGTAAAAAAACTAAATATATTTGTAATATTCTGGCTTGGTACCTCAAGAATGATATTTATCTTTAGTTTTAATACACGAATGTCATTTCAGTGCTATACAAATATCAATTAAAGGGGGAAAAATGCAATACATTTAACAACATTATTATGCTTACAGTATACGACAACAAACAGATTGTTTTTTTTTGATAAGTAACAACAAACAGATTGTTGATAGTCAGATTCAGCAATATGGTGAGAAGGAATACATGGAGCCAAGTTGGTTCTTGAGTTCAGATGAGTCAATAAATTAGTTGCAAAACATGTTGATATAGTCAGATTCATTGAATTATTTCAAGATATTGAGCTTTCAAAGTTGGAGTAAGCATATTACAATAATAAAAATCAATAATCAACACTTTTGGAAATATAACATCTATTTTAATCCATCACCAAATATAACATCTATTTTAATCCATCACCAAATTGGAGAATTAAACTTTAATCGTGTTTTCTAGTGAATTTTGATGCTTTTTACAATAGAATTGAGGATTTCCTGTATCAAGAAAGGGCTCCCCATTAATCACGTCTTTCGCACCTTAATTTTTTTATGCGAACTCATACCTTTTCTTCTTTCTTCTTCTTCTTCTCGAGCTCTTCGACTGTTAGCTTTGCATCCGATTCCACCTAAAGTTTTGTAGATAATAAAAAAATAATAAATCAACAAAATGAAAGCTTTAACCCTTACAAGACCACATATCAGAATCAATCACTAATGAATAATCAATCACAAATGAAGGCATGTATAGGAGTGACAGTAATGTTGTAGATTTAAAAATAGTTATTGAAAAACCTTCTCTCCTCCTTCATTCTTCCTCTCCATGTCTTGAGTTTTCGTATTTTTCTTCTCCATGTCTTGAGTTTTCGTATTTGATTTCACCTAGAAATGAATTATCATAATGCTTAAAAATTATATGTGTAAATGAGACTCAGAGACGCCACAAATCAAAGCTCCGATATTCCTCTCTCCCTCTATATATGCGTGTGTCGCTAGAAGAATATATAACAGCACCTGTAAACCCTAATGTATGAGTGACGTTGCCTCAAAAGAGATGCCATTGACACGTGGCAAGAGCACATTGGCACAAATGGCTTAAGAGCCAAGCCCCACTCAAGACTTGGATGCCAAATGTTTGCCACATCCAACTGATATATATATACACAGATATACATATATTGCGCTCTCTCTTTAGAGAAGGTTGTGTTCGAGTGTGTGCAAAAAGAGAGAGAGTGTTGTACTCGGAGGAGTGAAATTGTGGCGTGAATCAAGCACTTCTAAAGATTAACAACTAACAAATGCATATACAACTCCATTCAGATTCCATATAGGCATATATATATGTGTATGTGTGTATGTATATCAAATTTCGAATTATCCTATTATTTGCGTGCGTGACAGAGAAGAGAGAGATTACTTACCGAAGAGAGAGAACGCTGGTCGCTTGGTCGTCGGACGTCGCCGGTTTCTTGCTCGTCCGAGTCGCCGGGCTCTTGAACGTCGGTGATAGCCGGCGAAATGGGGATGAGGGCGGCGGTGAGGGCTGAGGAGGAGTGAGGAGAGGCGTGTGAAGACTAAGAATCAATTTAGTGACCCTATATAGGGTACTTCAATTCGGATTCTAATCATTCTTTCAACTTATATAATACTTATAGAAGGAGTCAAAGTTTCATATTTCTCTAAAATAAATTGTTGAGGTGACACATAATTTTTTACTATTTTAAAAATTATAGTGCCTAAAATACCTTTCCCTAATAAAAAAAAGTAGTATCTTTCGTTCAAAAGAAAGTAGTACCTTCGGAGAAAAAGTAGTACATTCGCGGGTGTTTAAAAAATATGGTATCTGGACGCCAAAAAGTAATATTTTCAGTTCAAGAAAGTAATACCTTCGAAGAAAAAGTAATACCTTCGAAGAAAAAGTAATACCTTCGCGAAAGGGTATTTTAGGCACCACAATTTCTAAACAGTAAAAAACCATGTGCCACCTCAGCAATCTATTTTAGAAAAATATGAAACTTTGACTCAGCCTCTAAGTAAATATGAAACTTTGACTCCATTTATATGTAATTTTCTCTATATAATATGATAAAGTACAAAAATACCCCTGAGGATTTTGTAAATAACTTCTTAAATTATAATAATTATCAATTTGTTATAATTAAGGACAACATTTCTCACCGAAAATATTAAATGACATGTATACCCTCAAAAAAAGACGTAATTTCATAAAAATTTCTTATGTCAAAATTTTATCCAATGACAGACAAATGGTAATCTAAGAGCCAATTACAAATTGACACTTGAACAATTCAAGTCCAAGCTTACCCACAGCACCGAAATAAGAATAAATTGTTATAACTTTTGTTTGACTGACACCCTCAAATATATGGAACTGATTGTTACAGGACTGAGGCTTTTGTGTCTACGTGGTAAGCCAGATTGCTGGATTCGCCGAAGGGGGGAGCTTGCCGTTGAATCAGTCGAAACTCACTAGAATTGAAACCAAACTGAACCACAACTCACCCAAACTGGAACAAAAACTCACCGGAAGAGATGAAGTTCACCGGTTGCATACGGTTTGATAGCTCGCTAGTTGTGTAAAGGTGAGGCTTTCCGATTTGGTTGCTGCAACTTTCTGGGTTTAACTACAACTTACTTGATCGGACTCGGTCAGTACAATCCCCAAATTGTGAGGAGTTGGTATTGATTCACTGGATTGAAATAGAGCACGCTAGAATGAGATTATTAGGAACTGAACCACACCAGCTTTATCGGAACTGGAGCGTGTTGGAACTGCTGGGTTGGATTGTCGTCAGATCAGAGCTCCAAACAGTTTGGATATTGTGCTCCAAGCTGTCGCCGGGGTTCATTGTCTTTGATGAAGCTTTTTGGTTACACAAAGGATTTGATCAGACTGATAGAACATAGAGATAGAGATGAGAGAGAGGAGATTGATTCAGTAATTATACCAGATAGAGATGAGAGAGAGGAGATCGACTGAGTACTTTATACGGCAATTAGGTTTAGGGATTTGGGGAATATAAATAGGGCGTGTTTGCCCTTTAAAGATAAGAAATGGGCAATATGGTCTTTTTGTTTCATAAGGGTTAAATGGTCATTTAGATAAAATGTGGCACGCACGCGCCAATTAACAATCAAAAAAAAATTTCCGGTAGCCGTAAATTGCAACGAACTAGCATGGTTGGGGGAGTTAATTGCATTTTTTTTGTAATTCAGGGTTTGGCTAATAGTTTGAGGGATTTTTTTGCACTTTATTCTATATTTTATATATATATATATATACACACACTAGTAAAAGGTTTTTGGTAACTTATCGATTTGAATTTTACTACCTATTTTTGTATTTGTTTCTAAAAAAATATACCATCATTAAAAGATTTGTTATAAAACTCTAGCACAAAATAAAAAAATATTACCTTTTTCTAAAAAAATCTATACTATTATTAAAAAGTTTTATAATTTATTGGAATAAAAGAAAATATCATGTTAATTGAAGCCCAAAAAGGAAAAACAATCTCTTATTTCTCCATTCCTCTTCTTCATTCTGTTGTTTCCTTGATTATTTCTCTCGCATCCACTTCTTAATGAACTTTTGAATTTTTTTTTTTTTTTTTAATCAAATCCCCAAAACTTATACAATATACTGAAGTCAAAATATATATTGAAAAAAAAAAAAAATGAATACATACCTTCAATCTTATTAGGTTTGTGTTTTTTCTCTTTAAGCAAACATATACGTTTATATATATTTTTTCTTTTGATTTTATGAACCAATAGAAACTTCTCAATGTTTTTTTTCCCTTCAATTTTGTAGAGTGAAAAAGAAAGAACAGTGAGTCAAGAAGAGAAATGGAGAAATTAGAAAGATATAAACTGTTGTCAAAACTTCTTCAGCGTAAATAAAATATGAATGATTTAGATAATTACGTTTATCATTACTCTTTCATTACCCATGATATCAAATAAATTTTTTTTCTTCAATATAATACAATCGATTCTTTAAAATATTCATAATAAAAAATTTCATCTTTGCAGTGATGGTCGGTATAATCAAATGTCAAGTATCACAAGCAAATCAATTAATAAATACCCTTTGTCTTTTTTAGTTTCAACCTTTTTTTCTTTTAGCATTTATCACCGATCCCTTTTAATCCTTCAAACAGAGAAGAATGGATGTAAAGTAATAACAAAAAAGGGAAAGAGAGAGCCAATTACTTTAATTTCTTTTGATCCAAAATATTCATGAAAGCACGAATATGTGTGAGGTATTTTCAAATTTTAAGTGAGGGCATTTTTTATATTTTAACAAAAGCTTATGGACTTTGTCTATGACTTCTCAAATGAAAAATAAAATAAAAAATAATTTGTCTATGAGTTCGAATATGAAAAGAAGATTTGATCTGAACTTTCATGGACTTGCTCCATTTCAATGGGTCAGCATATGGACTTGCTAATCTATTTTAGTATTTTTTAACCATTGACATAGCTTGAAGTTTCTCCACTGGCAATGCCTTGGACTCCACGAAAAAATTACCTAATTTTTTTTTAGGAAAAAATAAAAATAAGAAGATTTAGTAAAAATATATGACTTTTCTACATGCTTGGCTCCCACGAAAAACATATCTAATAATTTTTTTTACATAAAACTAAAATAAAATATTTGACTTTTCTACATGCAAAATGCCTGGAAAAATAAGAATAAGATTAATAAAAACATTTGGACTGCTGAAAGTTGGCATAATATTTAAAAGACCAATTAAAATTTAATTTTAAAAAACATCGTCAGCTTACTGAAATGACAACATAACATGTTAAGTGACTCCATTATTACATTGATCGTCTCCCACAACAAAATGAAATTAATTTTTGTTATCCATATGACTGGCTACAAATATACACTGACGTAATACAAGGCACTGGACTATCATTTTATTGCACAAAACTCCCCTAATTCAATTTTTTGACAAATAACCCTTCTCAACTATTAAATTATTGCACAATAACCCCTCTCAACTATAAATTGACCAAAGGCGCGACAAATTGTTTCTTACTGCAGTGAAAGAAATACTCATTTTGATGACCAAAATACTGTCTTATGGATTTAATACACACACAACCCACATATGCAAGTTCGAAAACTCCCTTGGACCATTTGATTACAACCTCTCCATAGCATTTGGACTGCAAGTTCTTGGGCCACGGAACTTAACTATCAATCCAGCCGTTTTCAGCAACGACTGCAGGTTCTTGATCTGAAGCTTGGAATGAGACACACCATGTTGGGGTGAAAGAACACAGAAGAAGTGAGAGGGAACCGAACCGAACCTTACAGATTGTTTGCCAGCCACCATTCCCATATCGGTTCTTCAGTTCAATCCGGTCCCTCAACAATGGAGCTAACCTTCTTGCGTGCCACAATTCCCATACAAACAATAATTGATAGATCAGATTACCAATATACACCCAACATAGAAAGAACAGTGTCCGACAAGTTTGAATTTTGTTACAGTCCTGACCAATATTCTTGAGAGAGACGGAGGGAGAAAATAGTAACTCTATTTGAAATAGTAACGAAGGAATCCACCTAGATAGGCATTTCTGCAAAAAAGCACAAATGAGAGAGAGAGAGAGAGAGAGAATGTATTGACCAACTGCCTAAGATCACCCTACATGCTACTTGGCCTTCTTGACAAGGGTTGACGTTCTGAACTCGGCATCATCCTTGATGAAGCTCCACCAAAAGAAGGTGAGGGGGACGGTGGCAGCATGCCAAAGAGCATGAGCATCTACAAATTCCCAATAGGGCGGAAAATCGTACAGTTCCAAGAGCAACGCAAGACCTCCAAGAACAACCACCACCCATAACTTCCATCGTGAGGGATGGCGAGTAACACCCGCCCAGACAGCCCATAAGAGAAGCTGAACTACAACCATTAATACACAAACCTTCTTGTTCAAACCTGAAACATTATTGTAAGATCTGTGTTAGAAGTCCACTAAAAGCGGAGCTCAAGTAATTTACGCTATAAGTAAGGAAGCTGTGGCTCCTCAACAGACATGTAAAGTATCTGGCATGCAATTGATTCAACTTCAGATCTCTACTTGTGGTATTATATCATTAGCTTTTTTCAAAATCTTTCAAAAGTCAGGCATTCAAATTACATTATTAATAACTTGATTCGGCGTATTCCCAAAAATTAAAATAACCAGGTCAATATATATTAAGAAAGAGTATACCATGTGCTAGTTCACCAATTCGTGATGATGTACATAAACCAGATCAGATGTGCACTATAAATTCTCTGTGCAGAGGCAAATCAATACAGACATTATTAAACAGTCTGCCCTGGAGTATAAAGTTCAATATGGCAATGTTAACACGTGGAAATAATACTTTGTAACAGAAGTAGATACAATATGTGCATTCCAGACTTAAGAAAATGGCTCAAATTATATACCAAGAAATTATATCACAGGTTTATCCCTAACGAAAATCCCCAAGAAAATGCCTAAGATCCAAAAGTACGCAGATAATCAAAATTGTCAACGCAATTTAAGTTTTGGACTTGCGAGAGATAATTTTCCAAAGACTATATTATAAGATCATCTATTGCATGCTGGAGAAATTTTGTTTTCTGCTAAACAAGGATAAAGGGGGCATAAGATTAGTAAAACGGATCCATTTTCAAAAATTGTCTTTCAGGATTTTGGATCTGCATCCACAATTTTGTGTGTGTGTGTGTATCGTTTAGCAATGCAGAAAAGTAGAATCTATGGTAGTAAAAATAAAATAACTCATGAGAGTTCGTCAACTGTGACTGATTAATCATGCACAATGAAACCAACGACTGCAACCAGTAAGAAGTGGAAAAGTTCATGCACTGGAAAATGACAAAGAATTAGCACTCGAGATTACACTTTCTAGGCATATATGAATGTCCAACTGCCAAATCATGTAGTTGTTCAAGGAGAACTAAAAAAAGGAATTTGATGTCGGCTTAGACATAGTAACACTGCTAGTTTAAATAGACATCTTTCTCATTCTGAGTTCTTCAACAGTTGGAAGTTATAAGAGAGGGCTTACCATAGTCAAGCTGATAAAAGTTCAAATACAAAATATGTGTTGTCACAAATGCGATTAGCGGAGCAGCAATCATCACCCTAGCAGCCTCATCCCTGATATTGAAAGCTCGCAGTATAGCCAGAATAAGGGAAAAACCAAGTAATGCCACCGCAGATGAATAGTCTAGCTTCTCTGCCAAATCGACATCTCTGCAAATTTAATTTTAACTACTGAATGTCACACCAAGAAGATGCACAAACAGAAAGAAAGTTCCAAAATCAAATTAGACAAATTTAGTTGATTGCTCATAACTGAATATGATGAGTTTTAAGAGAGAAGCATCAGACTCGTTTTATTTCCTGATTGGCGAATATAAGCATTGTAGATAGTGTCATTGCAGTCAAAGTCAGTCTATGGCGACATGCATAAGGAGTCGATCAGCAATTTAAAATTTTCTGAACAAAACAAGGATAAAATTAAACAAGGATAAAATTTTCCCTTCTGTTTTACAGAGAGTAGGAGGGTATGGCAGTCTCTCATAATATCAGTGTCCCACTTAGGAATTAACCTACAGATTGAAAAATAAAATGGTTCCCCGATTCTTGAAATTTACATGCATCTTTAAACCCTCGAATGAATATTTATGCCTAGCATGTCAAAAAAATTAGGGTTAATTTCACTGACACCCCCTCAGGTTTGACCAAATATCATTATATCACCCTCAACCATCTTTCGAAATTAACCATCACCTAGACCCCAATTTCCTTTTCGTTACTTTTTCCGCTAAAAAGGTGCAAAATGACAATTTTATCCCGATTTTTTAAATCTATTATAATCCAAAATATCATAAGCCTGAAATAACCAAATTGCCCTCATTTATTACTCTGTCACCCCCAAAACTCTTCATGTCACTCTTTTCTCCAAAAATATATTTTTTTTTTGTGTCCATGATGAGAAATATATATATAAAGAACAAATTAAAAAAATAATTATAAATTTATAATTATAATTTGGTTGGTTTTAAAAATGAGATATATATATATATATATATATATAAAGAATAATTTTAAATTTATATAATGAAGGTCAAAGGGTATTCAAGTCATTTCAACCCTTCTTAAAGTCAACGGATAGTTAGAAGGGCAGCAATGTCATTTTACATGCAAAAAGGTATCTGACACACTTGAAAAATAACTTTTGAGGTGTAAGTGAAAAACGGACCAAACGTTTGTAATGCGAGTGATGGTTATTTTCAAAAGATGATTCAATGTGATATTTGGCCAAACCTGAGGGGGCGTAAGTGAAATTAACCCAAAAATTTAATGTCAAAGCAATTTATTGGTTAGCAAGTTTGATCTTTGCTTTCAGAACCATACCCTAAATGTGGAGCACAGATATTAAATGTGCAAAGTTAAGGACTGCTTACCGACTGTGGAAAACAGCACTCCAGAACCATGAGTTCATTGATAAGATCCCATAGATATGCCACAAACCAGTGAACTCATAGTATGTCTTTCTGTTTGGCCGCAAAGGTAACTTGTAGTAAACAAAGATGAAAAATGATACCCAACCATGAAATTGCATAGCGAGATTGAGGGCAGAAAGAGCGACAGAAACAGGTTCCTATGAAAATTAAAGAAATTTATTCAATAAACCATACAAGCAACTTTAAACTGCATACCATAATTTAACGACATAGACAACTTATTTCTTCATAAAGAACACGTAAGACCTGAATACCGTAAACGCGCCGAAATGGCCATTTCCCACGATACTTGACTGGTCTGCCACCAATTTTCTTTCTTTCTTCCTCCCGAACCAGCATGCAGTGGTATTGGCAGTCACTACGACAGTCCCACTGTTTCCACTGCAAATAAAGTGGTTCTTGCAGATACCATGGACCATCTATAGGTTTTCCATCAGATGAGAATTTACAGTTCTGGAAGCATTTGTCCCCCACACAACCAGTTTTCTCACATTGCTCAACACAAGCCCTGGGCAAATGAACAAAAATAAATAAAAAATCAGTGCAAAAGGACAAAATATTTATAAGAACAGCAGCCCGAAAAGGAAGCATAGACGGACAAACACAAAAATTGTCTGGGTGTGATTCTTGAGTGTAGTCTATGAAACCAGCTAGTTGCTTTGATTTATAAAGCTGAAAAGAAATTGCAAGCCAAAGCACAGAGCAATAAGAGAACTTCTTGAGAGATTATGGCGCATCGTTCTTTATAACTACAAAAGAGACAGACACACAAATTGTTTGCAGCTAAATATTCTTTTTATGAAGATTCACAACTGTTCTTTTGTCCTCTCTCACCCCCTGCACAAGTCATCAAATGCTCACTAGGTTGAGGTTTTTGCTACGGACTTCTTGCCTTGCAGAGAGAATAATTCAACAGAGTTTAAAACATAATTGGTAAAGAGAAGGTCTAACCAATTATATATGAAGTGATAGAGGAACAATTTCAATAATGAGATGAAAAGGAATTTCTGACGCAAGAAAGGGAAAGGGGTTGGGAAGGAGAAAAGGGCCTAGATACAGGCTTCCTATTTTGCAACTCAAAATTTTTGGTCAACAAGATTTAAAGGAGCTGAATGAGTGAATATAATGTAACTCACCAGATACAGAATCATAAATTCCACACATTCTCTTCCATTCTTCTGCATCTCAAGACTTGGAGGAAGGGGAAAAAAATAAGAATGACCATAATAAGCATTGTTAGTTTATCCTCAATATGTTCACTTGCTTCAAAAACCCACCACTTGGATTTTGGAAAAAATCCAAGCTCGAGTGTTAACAAATGATCAGTAGATGTGTTGGTATAATTATCTTCATCTCATCTCCTTTCAAAGGCTTGTGGAGAAATTTATCTATCTTCCTAAAAGTAGATCCGATAAAGAATGAGTCACAGTTGTTAGTTTAATAATCATAGGTGGCAATTAAGATGCTTCAGCAGTTGGCACTTGGAGTCTTCACCTTAGAAGGGCCTTTTTTGCTAGACAATGTCTTATAGAGTGGAGCTTTATTCAGTTGCAGAACTGAACAAACAGCGGCGACTGACAGGAGGTTAGAATATATCTAAAATAGCTGAAATGTAAAAGAACTCCAAAAAAAAGGCTATTACCTGTCCCATCCACAAGGAGTGTTGGAAGGGGAAAGACTAGAAACATACATAACCTTTAGTGCCATTCATGATTGTTAGTCTGAGCTTTTACCATTGTATCCAATAATAACCCCCAGTGCTCTCTTTAACATACTAATTAGAACTTACTTCATAAATTAGAGGTAATAAAACCAATAATGATGCATAAATAATCATTACCCACCCTTTTGCTCATCTCCTTTTTCAATATGCTCTTCTAGTAACTCAGAATATTAGTAGTTCAGTATGAATTTATAACAACAGGTTGCACGCTTGCATACATTTGTTTTTGTTGTATATATGTAGAACTCTTCATACTAAAAGCAAAAGTTGCAATTTGAATAGGATGACCCCGACAAAATAATGCATGAGTTGAAGTTTTCAGAATTGGGGCTTAGAACAGTTTCAGAAAAGCTGTTCCTGATCTATATTGTAGGACTGGTGTGTGTGTGTGTGTGTGTGTCGCAAAGATATGGAGAACTTTACATACTAAAAGCAAAAGCTGCAACTTGGACACGATGATCTCAATAAGCTAATGTATTAGAAAAATGTTTGGTGTCAGGGCTTGGAATGGGTTGAGGATATTGTTCCTGATATGTGGTTGGAACCCAAAGCTGTTAGAGAATGAGGAACCACTTTAACTATAATGGAGCCACAAGTGAGTAAAGGCGTAGGTGAAAGTCCAAGCTGACACGTGAGGAGCACCTTCGAGGGCACAAGGAAGAGAGTGGGGACTACTTTTGTCGCAAAGAGGGCTATATCGCTAGAATGATTATTCCTTTAAGTGTTGAGATAGAAGAAAAACTAGAGGAACTCGAAGATTTAGAGAAAGATGTTACTTTGTTACAGTTTTTGTATCTTTTCATGCACTGTTTTTGTATCAGATTGTACATGCACTATTCTACCATGTTGCAATTGAAATTTGGTGTTTTACTGTTTTTGTATCAGAACTGAAACTAGTTTTACTGTTAGAACTGAATAAATGCACAATTCTGCCATGTTGCACTTGAAGTTTGGTGTTTCAATGTTTTTGTATCAGAACTGAAACTAGTTTTTCTGAGCAGAACTTCCTAGCTGTAAATGCAACATCTGAAGTTTGGTGTTTTACTATTTTTTAAGCTAGTTTTTTATGCAGTATTAGGATTATTCAGCTGTTAGTCTGCATTTGGTTTACAGTATGTGATGAGGACTGCTATATCTTTCCTTAGTTGAATCATATTTTGTATGACATGTTTGTTTAGCCACATAAGAGGAGTAACTGGTATCACTAGTTTTGTTGTGTGGTTGAAGACAATGCATTAAAGTCCAAAAAAAACAAAGAAAGGAAAACAAAAAAAAAAACCAATATATTACAATAGATTACTAATTTTAGAACTCTTCTGCGAACTTCAAAAGCGTATTACAATTGACTAGTACATCACTAGTTTTTTTTCTTCTCTCCAATTAGGTTAGTAGCGCAACACATACACATACATGCTTGTCTAAATTTTTTTTATTTACGCACATCTACCTTTTGAGGGATGCGTTCCTCTTTTGATCGCTTCTTAATACAATCTTACTTATCAAAAAAAAAAATTTTGATTTACTGCTTGTGAATATATTGGTTTATCACTGTTTCAAGAGGTGGACCCAAGATGTATAGTAATGGACTCTTTTAAGTTATCCCTTATATTTTTTAGGTTTGGTGAACAAACTTGGAGCTTGCACCACTGGAGAGTCATCTAGAAAATTTTAAGAGAGGTAGTATTATGGTTATGTGAGATAATTATCATAAATGATTTATATATTCCATAATTTTTTCCAGCTTCTCCGTAGCTTCATATTGTCATGTTCCTTTTGTAGAATGGAGGATCTGATGTTGCTTAGCCTTGAACAAGATCCAACGACTTCCTTTTTGTTGTTTTGTAATGATATTAATGTTGGTTTATGAGGGCTTCTATATGTAAACTTTGTTCTAATTTAGGATTTACAATATTGCACTTTTAGCTTTTGTGTTTTTGCCTATGGACCATATAATGTCATAGCATAATTAAACTTGTAAGCTTGATCCATTGTTATTATGTCATGCCAATATCTTCATTATTAAGGTTATTCCATTTGTTAGTACATCAACCCGAAGTATCAATCCGAGTTGGAAGCCCGAGTTCAACCTGAGCTTAAAAAATTAAGAATGGGTTGGGCTCGGGTTGGGTTAGGGTTGAAGATTTTATACTTTGGGTTGAGCCTCTAACCCGCCCGAGTTGCACCGCTAGTTTGTTACCTCTTGCTCGTGGTCCAAGATGGAATTCAAGCTACATTCAAAGGTAAAAGCATATAGGGAGTTTGGAGAGTGTAGAGTTGGATTTTTCTGTGTAGTTCTTTTTTGGTGTACTCTGCTTTGAGCGTTCTTGAATGAATTTAATTTATATATATAAAAAAATAAAAAATAAAAAGCGTAATCTTCTAGACCAAGGATATAAGGGTACGTTGACACTTCTACGTGGTTAGCAAATTAGAGTTCATGCATTCATACACCAAGGTTTTGAGATTTTATGATTTGATGTGGAAAATCCAAATTGATACACATAAAGTGTTTAGGAAACTACCTTTAAAAAAAAAAAAAAATCTAAGTATAGGACTGCAGAATGCTTCAATCAATCGAGGTATCGATCAAGGGCTTCTGAAGTCATATCGATCGATCCACATCTCTCTCAATCGATCAAGCTATTCAAAACAGCAGTTTCATTTTCTGCTTATGACATTAAAAAGCCTCTCTCTATACTGTTTTCTCTTGGGAGGGCTCCCCTTTTGAGCGCCTTTAATGAATTCTTACTTATCAAAAAAAAAAAAAAAAAAAAAGCCTTCTCTCTCTACAACACTGATTTGTCTACAGATACACTACCATAGGACAAATCCATTACACACACAGACTTTATTTTTGAGAGGTTTTGAGCAAAATTGAGTGCATATTTTTCTTTTCAATTTCATTAGATTGGCGATTGTCGTTTGAGTGTGTTGACAATGTATTTGCTGCGGCGCTGATTTGAACAAGTTCAACAACAGCAGTTATTCAATTAAACAGAGATTGATGTGGACGACTGGTCATTGTAGACAAAATCACTGGCTGAAGAAGTGAACCGCGTGAGGAGCGGGTCTGTTGAAGAACGGATTGTGCGCATGAAGACTCGAATGGAGCATTTGGTGGATCAGCCTGTGTCAAGAGGGCTTTGGAATTGTTAACCTAGGTGTAACTTCTTTCTCATAGTGGGTTTAGTTTGCCTGGACTAGGTCCTTTGTTGTCCTGTCTTCATGCTTTTTACTGCTTTTAGGTTTTACTAATCGAACAGCATGATTTTTAGCATGATGGACTGATTGAATTTCATTACTTAGTTTTAATTTGAATTTGAAGTTCTGATGATTTAGTTAAGAATTAAAAAAATGGTAAAAATTAGGTAAAGTTACAGGACCCATTCACCTCCCTCTAGGTGTAGATCACAGACTTTGTGCAACTCTATATCAGAGCCTAGGGTTCCGGTCTTTATCCCATCATAACCCCTACGTGTCAATCCATATTTCAAAGAACAGAAAATAAAATTATAGATGTAGATAGGGGAAAAAATAATGTTTCTATGGGTGTTTAATGCCATGGAGACACGAAGAACAGTAAATTCCATATTTTTAACAATTTAAGATAGACGAGAACCTTTCTTCACCAAATATCTATTGGTCATGGTTTTAAAGACCCAAGAAAAAGAAAATACAGAAATTTTATGGAATGCTTCAGCTTTGCCTAGAATAAAAATCTTATAAGGGGAGTGGATCATAAACGTGGGTGATCGCATAATTTTACAGGTGTGACATTTCAAGGTCTAGGTCAGAATGCTTATAACAAACTTCATTTTTACAAATAGCATGCCAACAACCAACTTTACTTCCGCAACCAGCCCAACTTTTGCACTGATTTCCTTTCCTTTTGGGGAAAAAGGAAGGAAGGAAAGGAGGAGGACCATTTGGACATGTACCAATGTCACTTCAAAAATTTACGATGTTTGAGAGAGAGCTTACCATCCAACTTCCGCCATCCCCATAAAAAAGGGGCAAAATGGGTAAATTGCAAAAAAAAAAAAAAAAAAAAAAAAAAAAAAAAAAAAAAAAAAAGAACCTGAACTATCAATATTTTGAAGCAAACCCTAGAACTATTTTAAAGAGCCAAAAAAACTCCCTCATCTTTCAAAATCTTGCATAATGTCCATGTCGTTAGACAACCTTTAAGTCTCCGTTAACTAACGATGTGAAATTACTAAAGTGCCCCTAATAAACTTGAAAAAATAATAAGAACAAAACAATGTCATATTGAATATAATTAATTAATTTGGGAATCTAATATTTTGTTTTAATTTTCTCAAGTTCAGTGTTAGGGGATGTTTAGTGATTTCACATCACAAACTAATGAAGACTTCACGGTTGTTTAAGAGGAGGGGGTTTTATGCACGAATTTAAGTGTTAACTACCATCTACTCTAAAAGCTTAAGCTCTTAGAGAGGGTGTAACTTAAATATATAAATCCTTCAACACGCCCCCTCACGTGTGGCATTCTTTTGGTCCAACACGTGTTTTTCAATATTTAAATTAGGGTGACGGTGAGGTTTGAACTTGAGATTTGGCTCTAATACCATGTTAACAACCATCTACTCCAAAACTTAAGCTATTAGAGATGGTGTAACTTGAATATATAAATTCTTCAAAAAAAGATAAGCAGATTTTGGGGTTAAAAATAGTTCATGAGGGTTTGTTGCAAAAGATTGATAGTTAAGGGGGTTTTCTGCAATTTGCCCCCAAAAAAGGGTAACCTACACTGGCCTCCCTAAGTTGGGCCTAATCAAACAAGGCATAAAATAGAATGGTCTTAACTACACCAGCCTCTCTTATGGATGTTAGAAAGTTTATGGACATTAAGTAATATCGTGAAATGTCTTTCATACCCTTATTTGATTTAATAATATTTTAATAGAAAAAATCATGTCAAGCCAAAAGGCTATATTACCCTCTTTTTTTGGTAAATACCATGTCACCCCCTTAGTAATAACTACCCAAACCCCCTTACACTCCTCTCTCTTATCCCTGACTCTGCAATCTCTCCCTCCCCTTTCCATCTCCTCCAACAACCATCACCTCCTCTCACCACTAACACCTCTTCCCACCACTTGCATTGTCATCTCCATCACGACCACCTCCCTCTCTCTCTCTCTCTCTCTCCACCACCGCTGCCTCCTCCCACCACTTCCACCATCATCACCACTATAACCCTCTCTCTCTATATCCTCAATGGTGGTATCAAACATCACAATCACATGCCAAACCTTAAACCCACTGCATTTCAGATCTCATATCTCCACTATGAACTTGCCTCGTGACAATTTCTGCTTTACAACTTCTGTTTTTCTCTCTTTTCTCTGCTCAATGGTGGTATCAAACATGACAATCACAAGCAACACCTTAGACCCGCTGCATTTCAGATCTCAGATCTCCACTGTGAGCTTGTGTCTTGACAGGTTCTGTTTTACATCTTCTGTTTTTCTCTCTTCTCTCCTCTTCTCTGTTGTCAACACCACATCTTTGACAAATTTAACAATCACCAACTTTGGTTCCCCCCGAACATTATGCCCAAATCGATCCCTCTCTAATCTAATTCACTCTCTCACTGTGCCCCTCTCCCCATCAATTTCAAAGGCTTTTAACTTAATCTCAAGGGTAAATTGGTCCGTAAATAATCTGTTCTCCCAACATATTTAAAATGGTAAACTACCAACTATTTATTCAAAAATGTAATAATTTCCATTTCATGATCCTTGATCTTCCACATATTTGATAAAACCAGCTCACCATGCACCACTATAACTTCATAGAATCTACAAGGAGTGAAGCAGAAGAAATCTTAAAAAGAAGTTCATACTTCATAAAAAGCTATTATGACCCAAAAAATGAATTGTAGTCACAGACAAAAGAAGTTCACCATGCACCACTATAACTTCATAGAATCTACGAGGGTAAATTGGTCCGTAAATAATTTCCATTTAATGGGTGGCAAACTAAGATATTATGTACACATAAGTTACCACTTTAAATTAATTTTTTTATGTAAATCATTCATTGTTTATATGAATGAATAAGTAATTGAATTTAAAATATTCCTTGCTACCATTCTTAAAGGTCTTGAATTCTTAAACATCTTGATTTTTTTTTTTTTCTCTAATAAATTGATTTTGAGTAATAAGTAATTTGAATATAATTTTTTTATAGTTTAAGATTTGTTCTCAAATTCAATTATATATTAGTCTAAAAACTGACATTATCTAGAAAATGGGATCTTCACTCAAATTTACATTTAAATTGTAAATCCTCTTCCTACGAAAAAAATAATAATAATTAAATATAATTAAATTAAAAAAAAAAAAAAAAAAATCCATTATCACTCTATTTACAAAAATAAATTTGTTAAAAGTACCTCTTTGCTCAGCCATCCTTCAACTTTTAGTTTATATAGTACCTCTTTGTTCAACTTTTAGTTCATAAGCATCTCCACATTGAAATAACTCTAAATAATAAAAATTTGACATGCTCTAGTGTGCCCAATTGTTCAAATGCTCCTCCACATTTGGAATCCCAAAGGATCAAGTATGATCATATATGTGAGAATGATAGTGTTTTTCATTATTATATTTTTATTGTGAACAATGATAAATTAAAATTTAAAATGTATGTTGAAGGTCATGACACGCCATTTTTCATTAAAAAATAAAAAAATAAAAATAAGAAGAAGAAAAGAACTAATTTTATAAATAAAAATCAAGTTTTATACTATAAGAAATTCCGGTTTTTAGTAAAAACTCAAAATATACAATTTTATTTTCAAATTACTCAAGATGACTTTACTTTTATCTTTTTGCATCTCAAAAATGAGAAGGATGGATTGTTAAACAAAAATGATAGTTAAATAATGTTATTTTTATGGACATATTAAAAATCAAAGAGGCCTATTTTAATATTTTTTTGCCTAAGGCCTTAACTTGTATTGAGCCGCCTCTGCTGAAGGACCACTTTGTGGTATAATAGCAAGCCTTACCAGCATAACTATGTGATTTTGAAATGGATCAGAGGATTTTTTTCATGAGGGAAGTTTCAGTTAGCTCCATTAAACAACTATTGTCAAATATTAGTTCAGCTACTAAACTCTAGTTTCTTCCTTTCATATATATATATATATATATATATATATATATATATATGCACACACACACACACATACATACATACATATATATATATATGAGCTCAATTAGGTATTCTTACTAGCTAAAGAGTCTCAAATAGTGAGACATCATTAAAATCAGTTTATTTCCTTTTCCTGTATTTTCTCAGCAACCAAACGAAGTTCAACCAAAAACACAGGTAATCTTTCCATTCCCAATCCATCCAACAGTACAATAAAAGTGAATTAAACTCAAAAAATCACACAACTAAGTAAATACTGAACTCTAATTTATGAAAATTGGCAATCAATGAACAATTAGGTCACCGAGCTTACTTGTAAATCGGATCAGCATCACCAGAACTTGCGTTGAGCACACCAACGAGACACGAGACTGCTGCGAAGAACACAATCAGATGAGATTGTGCCATCTGATTGATGAGATAGAGAGAGAAAGTCAAAAGGAATAGTTGGACTTTCTACGATATCAAAGGACTGGGGTATTGCAATTTTGTATAAGGATGTGATTGATGATTTTCCATTGAATCTGAGGAGAGAGCAGTCTGAAACTACATTGAACGCATCGGGAAATGATAGATTAGAATACGTATGAAATCGATTAAAAGAGACGACGAGAGAGAGTTTTTAGGAGTGGTGGGTTGGAGACGAGTCGAGAGAGTTCGATATATGGCCTTCGGAGACAAGAATCTTGTGACGAGCACTATGGAGCAGACGCGTGTCTAATTGCATCATAAAGTCCAATAACCATTCTTGTCAACTTTTTAAAAGAATAAAAATATTTATATGACAATTATTTATTGTTACATGAAGGACATGAAGGACAAGTGTGTGTGTATACTTTGTGTTTTTACTGTAATTTTACATCTAGTGAGTAAGAAAGTTGAAATGGAATGATAATATGATGGAGTGGAATGAAATATTATTGTCATTCTATTATTTAGTTAGACTATTATTAAATTTAGAATGAAATATATATATATTATATATATTTTAAATATTCCTTCCAATGCACCCACATTACCTTTTAATAAAATCAACCCAATATATATTTTGATCACCTATATTATTTATTTATTTTTTCTCTAAGTAAATAAAATAAAAATAAAAAATATCTAAGAAATCATGACAGATTCAAAAACAAAATTCAAGGGGCAAAGGTAATATTTTGTAAGTATATATATCAAAATGAAAAAATAGTAGGCTAAATTAGTGGGAAAAAAATTTATGAGACAGTTATCCCCACTGAAGTGTACATGTCCATGAAAGAAACAAATTGTGGTGATGCTTTGAAAAGCATATTGAGCAATACCAAGAGCCAAACTATTTGCTTGTCTCTTAACTCACTCCATCTTCCCATTCGCTATGTAGCTGCATAATATTAATAGCGTGAATGAGTATCTTTATAGATTGAAGCAATACTTGTAGCAACTTTCGTTATTTTGATTCCAAACGATCACCACCATTGTTAAGAGGCCAATACCACCATCGGATCAAAAAAAAAAAAAAAAACCAAACTTAACTTAAAATAAAATAAAATATTATTTTTAATAATATATCAATCTCAATAAAATAAAATAAAGAAAGCGAACAAAACAATAAAATGATCAGTGCAGGTGAAAGAAACAAGAAAATGTTGGGTAAATCAATTTTTTTTTTTTTTTTTTTTTTTTTCATTGGCAAAAACGCACGCATTCATTTATAGTTATAGCAATTCAAACCGTCGTCATTTCCTTTAGAAGGTAAAAGAGATATCACTAGACTACAGCCTTTGACAGCACATAATTGAGGCACTGCCATTTTCTACAAGGAGCATCAGTAGCCATCAGGGCAACATGGAGGGAAAAGTTAACGGCTAACTTTTGTTTTATCTTTCTAATTTATTTTCTTATTCTCCCTTTTTCTTTTTTTCTTTTTCTTTTTATTTTTCTTTTTTAATTTTTTTTGTTTTCCAAAGGAGATGATGCAACAATACACACAATCAACAAAAAAGGTATAAATTGAATTGAAATATGATACTACTGGGGATTAGGAGTTCCCTGTAGAAGAACACAAGATATTTCTCTTCAATTCCATGTTGTTTACTGTGATACCCCCGAATTTCCGAATGTGGGTTGGCCAGGCCCACGCCCGAATACCCGAGGATATCAAAACAAATTGATAATAAACGAACACAGAGTACAAAAGAATAAAGAAGAATAAATAAAATGCTGACAAGAAACTAAAATGATAATCTAATAATAAACCTCATAATATATTTCCATTAATTAATAAACTCTTCTGATACAACTGATCCTCCAAAATACAACTCGGGAATCCATACTGTGTGGACCCCTAGAAAATCTAAACTAAACAAATGACAGTATTCTAAAACAGGAACTGAATCATAAAGGAACTCCTATGTAGCATCGGAAGAATGAAGTAGATTGATCCCCGCTCAGCACGAACAACCTCTACTCGTGACGAACACCTGAAAAATAATGGTGGGTCAGGCCCACAAACAAGTTCTACTCTACTACAGTCCAAGCAGAGATCCGATACACGTATACATCCTAGTCAATCCAACAGTAACTAGTAGTCCGTATATATATATATACACACTAAAGGAACCTCACTAGACTATAGGGTTGTCTCAACCTGAATAGTAGGCAACATGCAAAACGCACATATAGTGGGCATGAGTACCTAGACCTACCAGGGTACACAACTACACTATATCTAGCTACACATCCCTGGCGATATACGCACCCTAACCACTGATCCTGAGACTCAAGCTCATATCATGGCACCATACTTATATATATAAAATCTAGTGACCATCCTATCCAGTATAAATTAATCCTCCATAAGTCATTCAACTTGTTCAGCTGACCTGACTTGAATATAAGTAGGACTTAATATTTTAGTTAATCCATTCACACTAAAGGAACCTCACTAGACTATAGGGTTGTCTCAACCTGAATAGTAGGCAACATGCAAAACGCACATATAGTGGGCATGAGTACCTAGACCTACCAGGGTACACAACTACACTATATCTAGCTACACATCCCTGGCGATATACGCACCCTAACCACTGATCCTGAGACTCAAGCTCATATCATGGCACCATACTTATATATATAAAATCTAGTGACCATCCTATCCAGTATAAATTAATCCTCCATAAGTCATTCAACTTGTTCAGCTGACCTGACTTGAATATAAGTAGGACTTAATATTTTAGTTAATCCATTCCCTTATATAATAAATTAATCCTCTATAAGTCATTCAACTTGTTCAGCTGACCTGACTTGAATATAAGTAGGACTTAACATTTTAGTTAATCCATTCCCTTATATAAAATAGGTAGGACTTAACTGATAAGTTAATCCGTCCCTAGAATGCCACCGTCCCATACCGGTGCATTAAACCACACAATCCAACAATTGATGTAATAATTAAAGAAATACATCAAACATTCCAGAAATAACTATGATAATATGATATCAAGTTATCACAGAATATGAATGACTTATTATTTATTTAAGCTCATATATCATATGTCCTACACAAACTGAATCTTATACATGATGATATTTTATTATATCATCAAATAAGCATTCTCCGTATCCAATTCATCCTACACATTTATTCTCAATTGCTAAAGCATTTTAAAAGATTAAATCCATTCGTTTGTGTAAACATTTAAATAGCAAGTATCGTTATGATTGAGTGTATTTAAATTTATTTAAACCCAAACCTAGTCCCTATTTAATGTTCAGGAATCCTAGGCATGTTTCTACGTTCCATCATTCCACATATATGAAAAATACATAATTCAAACATATAAAAATTCACACCAGAAATCAAATCAAAATCATGCATTTTTTAATTTATAACACAAGAACAGATATGACCCAATTTCACAAAAACCTATACTTTAATCCAATTAAACATGCATAATTATTTAATTTTATGTGTTTAGTAAATCCTGGAATTTCCTAGGCATGTACAGAAACACGAATCAAAGGGAAAGAGATAGAAGAAGAACTTGCCTTAAACTTTCGGATTGAAAGTTAAACTTCTTCTTCCTTGATCTTCTCTCTAAAGGGTTTTTTCCTCCTTCCTCCCTCTTTCTCCTTCTCTCTCTAACTCTCTCTTTAGAATATATTACGTGATATATTTTCACTCCTTTTTCAACCTATAGTTGTGTATTTACAGGCTAAATAATAACCCTATTCCTTTTCCCAATCCAAGTCAACTTAATAAAGAAAAATAAAAAATGAAAATATTAAAATAAAAAATGAAAAGATTAAAAAGGTAACTTAAAATATGTTACGTATATAATCTATGTATATCCTTATTAATTAAATAAAATATATACATTAGATTATTTATTAATACTAAAGTTACCATAATATTAAAAGGTAACTTAAAACATGTTACGTATATAATCTATCTATATCCTCATTAAATAAATAAAATATATACATCAGATTATTTATTTATACTAAAGTTACCATAATATTAAAAAAATAACTTAAAACATGTTACGTATATAATCTATCTGTATCCTCATTAAATAAAGAAAATATATACATCAGATTATTTATTTATACTAAAGTTACCATAATATTTAAAAGGTAACTTAAAACATGTTACGTAACCTTATTATATAAATATATAAAATATATACATCAGATTATTTATTAATACTAAAGTTACTATAATATTAATAAATTACTTTCCTTTTTATATATATGTATATACATATATATCTATATATATACATATAGAACTATCTATGGGTAATTATCCATACCCATCTAACCTCCTATCCAAGTAGTCCATAAGACCCAATTAGTTAGCCCATTACCACTAACCATAACCATAAAATAAAATAAAATAAAACATTTAATCATTTAATTTACAATTAATTACAATTAATCAAATACATCATTTAAGCACACAATCTAATTAAACAAATAATACAAATAACACCTAGACAAAATACGAATAACACATAAATAAGTAGCCAATTAATCAAGTAACACTTAATTCAATTAAACACATAAACAGTTAGTCAAATAATCAATTAAACAATTAAAAAAATACAATAAAAATAAATAAATAAATACCGAGACTATTCTTTTAAAATTAGGGGTATTACATTTACTATATACACACACATATATATATATACACAAATGGTGTATTCACATTACACTTGATGTGTTTCTGGTTTTGCTTGATTATTGATTTGTGCAATTATTACATTAATTTCGTGTTTGTTTATAGATTAGAAGTCCAATTGGTTTAATTGAAAGTTCTTCAAATTTTGGCTTAATTGTTAAGACTTTTAGTTCAAATTCCATAATAGAAGATTTTTATTTTCTCAAAATCATTGAACTTAGCTTTTGTAGTACATATTTGGCTTTTTTGGTTTATTTTTGTACATATTTATGTCATATTTGACTAGATATAGATCATTTTTAAAAATAATAATAAATTGACCAAAGTTTGGCTAGGTATAATTTTTTATGAATATTATTGTTAATAAAATATTTTTGACTTAAAATAATCTCATATTAGATGATAATGTTGCTTATAAGTTCGGCACCCCCAACCAAAGAATCCTGGCTCCGCCCCTGATCCTGGCTCCGCCCCTGATCCCCTGTTCAACAAGCAAATTCA